CATTCATACTAAGTGATTGGTGCGTAGCATAATGCAGTGTGTAATATGCGTGCCTCGGTTTGATCTAACCATGTGGTACGCATCTCCAGATCACAAGGGAGGGCACTATGCGGTGAGCGCAGGTTGCACCCACGTGATGCCGAATTATGGAGGATGAATTATATAAGTTTATGGCTCACAAAGTAACCAACGAGTACAGTCAGAAAATGGTGGACGTCAGTGTGCAGCAATTTGACATGGATTCCAATATGGTCAATGAGACGACCAAGAGGGCGGGCGAATTGTACAAAGAATTTACCTCGCCAAGGAAGGTGGCATCAGCACTTAAACAAGAATGCGACAAAAAATATGGCCGCGCCTGGAACTGTATAACAGGACGAGATTTTACCAGGTGAGTTACTGTCATTTTCGTCGACTCAGATCGTGCTCACACTGTATGGTTTTTAAGCCATTTGACTCTACAGTTACAATCGTTAACTAAACTTAGAGCCATTGTTTTAGTGTGCCTTAGAGCCAACAATAACTTGTAAACTAAAGCATGAATCCCATAATTGCAGTACCCAAAGATTGGGGACCCCAGAAATGGTCCGACGGCACTGTGTGCTGCGAATCCTTTACAGTGCGACTAAGTGGCCTTGACTTCATACAAACAAGTGCTGGAATATGTACGCAGTAATACCTGCACACATTGCAGTTGGGATATCCACTAAGCACTAGGACTGTAGAATCATAAAAACTTTACACGCTCTGAGTAGAGAAGGCGAGCCAGAAAGAGGGATTATACACGGTGTTTCATGCATGGAGGTTCACTTATTCTGTCGATTTTTGTGAATATCAAACATTTGGCTGTTGGTACCGCTGCAGTACTCCTATCTCAGCGTATGAGATTGGTTTTAGGCCGTCCTTGTAAGGTGCTATTCGGGCCAAGAATTTCACTCTTTCACTCTATTGCCCAAAGCGTCTCAAACTTTATTAGGTAGCAAATTGATACCCCGTGAAACTTGAAAACAGACTACCACTAAGCTACTGAACTTCTACGGGAATCATGCATTCTGTGTTGATTAAATATAGGATTTAATGGCCTCTCGGTAAATACGAATCCACTTCGGTCTGACGACGCCTCGAAACGCACACAGAAACTGCGCCTCTCGAATTGCCTACAGGCAATGAAATAGAACAGATTGATGTATATTCATTGTACGTTCCATCAACCTACCTGTTATTACCAAATGGCAAAATTCTTGATCAAACTAACCTTCCAGTACACAACTCACTGTCATTCGTGAAAAAGTGTTGTTGCCTGAAAACAGAACGTGATGGGCTGCTGGTCACACTGTGTGCCATCTTAAACGACAATGAACAAGTCACCTCTACGTGATCCATAGACACATTTGTATGGTCCAATTAGCAGCATCCATCCCTCTTAGTACATATACAACGGACACCGAGACTACCTTAAGGGGTTTTGAGGTGATTTCAGTCAATACCTAACTGTCATAGAATCAGAGTATTTGAGTGTAGCCTGGTGATCCGGACACTATACCCGACTCTAAACTTACTTTTATTGTTAACAACTAACTGCAAGCGTGCCAACACAACTGTTTTGGGATCGAACAGAAAGTTTAGTAGGACCGGTTGACGAATTTATGAGAGTGAGAGCCTTGCCCCGATAAATGGCTATTAATCGACCATGCTGGAGTCAACAAAATCTGTCTCAATGAACCGTACATGAATTTCGTTGATGGGTAAAGTTTATGGGGCCAAGGTTATGCGACTTGTTTTCATTATTTCTCTGAGTAGTCTGCAATCTGGTCGAAGTTCCACTCTACTACACAAGTGATCTACTGACCCACTTTCACCAAGTAGATTTTCCTCGTTAACGATGGTCAGCAATGCTCCCCATCAAAACTTGAACGGATACGTAAGGCTGCCGAGCTATAGTAGGATTTGGTCATTGATCACTACAGCAGAATACAGCAGAGAATGTCAAACTTCGGTTGATTTTCTTTCCTTGGCATATGCTCAGCTTATTAGATAAATAAGTCCCGCAAATCAGCTTCTGTTAGATATCAGGTACGCCACTAATTGATTCCGGAGTTTTGCACTTTCGTGTCTTCGTTGCTTCGTCAGATTATTCCATTTGTGACTCACGCCTTCATCGTGTTTCTCGTTGCAGCTACGTGTCTTATCAAAAGGGTATGTTTCTGGAATTCATGATTGGGGACTACAATTTTATCTTGTTCAAGTCGGGAGACAAATAAACTTCACATGCGACGGCATCCGTGAAAGAAATCCTTTAAACAATAACACTTATTTAGACATGATACTTTCTTACGATCGAGCACCGGTTAAAAGCAGGCTAAAAGAATTAAAGAAAATTATATGAAACGGTCGTTCTCCTTTATTTTTGAGCTACTGATTGCGGCTGAGGGTATTGGATGCAAGCTATCTTTACCATTTTGTGATGATGGATAACACTAATAAGCCCAAAATGAGGGCGGTTACGGTGCAATGTGTCATCAGATTGAAAACTTGTTGGTCTCTTAGTTTCTATCTTTCTCACTCTGGTCACCATATTCATCAGATTCCGCATATTCACAGAAAATGCATAAGCTTGTTTAAACTTTCGCTCCTCTAGTGCCGCAATCTCCTTAGCAGCCTGTGGATATGTTCCAGGCCCACTCGTGTTTCTGTGCTGTCCGTGGAACTATAGACTTGTGGGTAACAAAGGAAATATCAGACAGTTCCTGCAGATAGAAAACGCAAATCCGAAAAGCAAATGCATCCCGAGCAAAAACCTTTATTGGTAGTGGACACATTGTAAAGTTCGCATGTGCACGCAGCTTTGTTACAATATGTTGCGACCCAATAACTTGGACTATACTGCGTAGATATCGCACCAGGTTTGCAAAACTTCGTTTATTGTGAAAAAAGACGAATTCTTTTGATGTAGTTAGCCTTTGGCATTGGCGATCTTCCGCGACATTTTCAGCCTAAGCGAAGGAAAATTCATGCAATCGATTCGTTGTTGTCTAAATATTGCTCTAATAATAGGTTCCTCTATAAGCAGCAATATAATAGAGAAATGCTGTATGCTAACTTCATGATGGGTGTTTATCCGGAGCAGCCTCCAATCTAACGATTGAATATGCTAGAGGTTCGGGATATCATAAATTAAAACAGATACAGTCACATGACAATCGTGAGACAAATGCCGTGTGGAATGCCTTGGGGAATCCTCAGTACGAATTTGCAACGTTTAAGCGCCCTTAGTTTGACAAACAACATTCACCCTCAGCAACTTCTCATAACCAACGAGGTATACACGTAAAGCATATGTCGATTGAAAAGCCCGCCGAGTATCCAACCCACTTTACAAACAATGTCCTTACCAATTCTTGACCCCTCGGCCCCTACACATGATCACTTGGATGAGAGGACGAAATCACCAGCGGGTAAAGAGATGCAAGATGGTGGGCTAAAAATAGGCACATGGTAAATGTTGTAAAATTAATGGTTTTCTACCAGCATCTACAAATCGCCAAAGCTGTGATATTACGTTATGCACCACAGATAGAATGTCGAATTCATACCATGCAGCAGCAATCCCGATACAACAGCCTTCTTCCCTTTTATCAATAGGTAATTCGCAGACGGTCCTGCGTGCTGCGCGTTCCCATTCCATCCCAAAGTGATAAAATGGGATTTTAAGATGAGTACCAATAAGTACAAGGATTGGGCCATCGCTCGGTCACAAAACAAAAGTACTAACAAAATCATCTGACTATCTACTTACTCACAAATGACTAGGCATTAATGGCAAACCCTCGTTGGTAGCCTAGTAAATTAGACCAGGAGACACCGATGTTTAGCACCTCAACTTCACTGATTCTTTTGATGTAAGCATATTGCTTTCGGATAAAAATACGTCTATTGTAAGGTGCTACGGAGTAGAAGCTAAAAAAATAAGTAGTTCCTTTTATGATTGTCCGAGACAACATCCACGTTTTAGTCCTAGCAACATGTACAAAAGGAGCGCAAAAAGGATTTATCGTTTAAGTAAATAGATAGCTAAGTGTGGTCTCTATTTGGCGGGGCACAACTCATTTGACGTGATCAGTCAGTCATACGGAAAGCAAAATATTGATTCCCCATTGGTCAATAGAGGACAAATATTGCAAAGTAGCCGTTTGTGTGCCAGTGACAAAGTGGTAAAACTTTGGCCTGATGTGTGGTTTGTCCCTGCAACAGAGAGCGATGCAGCTGTATGGAGGGCTAGGTATTTTAGATGAGAGTGCTTTGAGCTGGAACGGGTGATGTGACCCTTTCATGTAGAAGGAGCAACGGAACTACGATTCCAATCACTCAAGCGTACTCGTTCGTAACTACACGATAAACTAAGAGAAGGATAGACTTCGAAACTAGAACATTGAACAGGTTAACTGATGTGCAAATTGAGAGGACCCCCGTAGTTATTTCAGTTTTATTATTTGTTAAATGTTGTGGGTGGGAAACTGTGATCCAAGTATACAGTCATGTGCTCTGTAGTATGTAATGAGTCCAAATAAGTAGGGGAGCCAAAGCATAGTTTGGCCACCTCTCTACTTCTTCCATCCACAACCCAGGCGCGAAACAAGGTACGCCGCGGGAGTCAGTGGGCTGGCGTGCCCAACACTTGGTTCAGCCCTCGGAGCCTGGTGCGTGAAATAACGGTGCTGAGCGGTTCGCTGCTTCTTTCTGCGCCATAAACAAGGCGTCAAACCCACTTATTGCTCAAGTGGTGTTCCCATCAGATATGAGCCAAACTCGAAGGCACCGGTGGTCGTATGTAACTGGCCTCTTTATGTCAGAGGATCTAAGCTGCCGAGTTTCACAACCGCACAATTGGGTCGAACGTATGGCTGCTTTGTAAACTCTACCCTTCAGGGGGAGAGTGATGTCGCGCCGGCGCCATAGATGACGAAGATTAACAAAAGCACCTCGTGCTTTGACTATACGGTTTGTGACCTCGTTTTCAATTCAAACGGTGCTGATACAACTGTCTAGGTCGTTGACGTTTTGAACAACTTCTAGCTAATTCCCACCAAGGGTCGGCGCAAGAGGCGATCCCCAGCAATCTTGGAGAAAAGCTTTGCATTTCGAAGGTACAGAGCATAGCCCGAAAAAGTTGACAGCCAGTGCTAATCTGTCCAGGGCAATTTGGCAGCTCTGGGAGCTGTCACGTATGAGCGTAATATTGTCAGCAAACACAAATTTAATAACTCGTTCATCTGGGAGCAGCTCCATATCTAAGTCGTGTCTTGTAAACGGGCTTTCCATGAGTTCGTCAATAGCGAAGTTGAAGTAGAAAAGTGACAACGATCAAACACCGTTGGACATATTGAAGGGCGGAGACAGCTTGCCGTAAGCCCTCACTCTGGTCGAGCTACGCGAGTAAAGCTGTCGCATAATATTTACGCTCTTCTCAGGCACACCTTTCTTTAGCAAACAGTCCCAAAGGGCATGTCGATCCATCAAATCGAAGGAACCTTTGATGTCGAGAAACATGACAACTGCAGTTTGCTAATAAACACGACGGTGCTCCAACGATTGACGCAAAGTGAAGATGTGCTCGATGCATTCCCAAACCCAACGAAACCCTGCTTGCTCTTTGTGGATCTGACCTTCACGAGGACCAACCAATCTGTGGAGAACGACAGACGCAAGCAATTTAGAGGCAATTGAGATAAGTCTGATCCCTCTATGACGACCGCATTCCGAACGGGGTCCTGCCTTGCAAATTGGGACAATGGCTGAGCAGCTCCAGTCTATCGGGACACTTTCCTACTCCCAAATCTTCATTAGCAACTCGTGAAAACCAACTATTAGAGCCAGTTCTCCGAATTTGAAGAGGGCTGGGGGAATTCTATCAGCTGCTGCCATCTTATGCAATTTCAACAATCTGATCTCACGTTCAACTTCTGCGCGTTAAGGCGGATCTAAGGAGACCATCCTTGGAGAAGGGAACTCAATACCCAAAAAATAAGCGGTAACTGAAATTGGTTAAAATGTCTTGCAGTGTTCTGCCCAACGCTCCATGCGTTTTGACAGGCTGTGGATAGGCTGTCCATTCTTCGCGTATTTTCTCGCTAACACCAGGTCTCCTGCTGCCTTTTTCACCTTTCAGACGGAACAACTTATGATGGCTACCAACGGAAGCGGCTGTTTCCATTTCCGACGCACGATGTTGCCACCAGGCTTCGCGGTCTTTCTTCAGACTAGCACGCAGATTTGCCCTGAGATGTTGACAAGTCTCATTGTGTTCGCTTGCAGCCGGAATACGTCGGCGAGCAAGCATAAATTCCAGAGACTTTATAGAGAACCAATGTCTAGCTTTGCAATTTGCTTTGCCACATGAAGACATTCCCGCTGATAGTAACGTTTGACGAATTTGCAAGCAGTGATCTTTGACGGTGTTCAGTGGACGCTTATTCAGCCCGGATGCCAGCGTAATTTGATACGTAACAAGAACACCTGGCTTCGCCAATTGGCTGATGTCTATGTGCTCTCAGCGACGTTGAGAAAGTCCGCCGAAAAGCACCCCTTCCCAGCTATTACGTTGGCCAATAGAGAAACTAGTACAACCTGGATGTAATACTCTGATTCTTGTATCATATTAGGTTCGTTAAGGCGAATCATTTGAGGTGTTGTCAACTATGTAAAAAGACGGAAAGTGCATGTCGTTTAAGGAAAGTGTGTTATTAGGAACAAGGTTCAAACGATTTTCTTATTAACGCGAGGGCGGTTTGGACAACTCTATGGGCTGTCAGCATATGGATATCCATGTCAAGTCAAGTCAGTATAAGCTTTACATTACCCAAATAGGTGCATTTTCAGCATTTTACATCAACTGTAAACGTATCAAAAGGGTAAGATCAAAAATGCTAAAATTGCTAATGGGTATGGAACTGCCACATGTGTGCTGTCACAACTTGATTGAGCAATGTTCCCGTAATGCTGGACTATCTCTTCGGGATTTGCATCTATTCAGAACGGAAAAGGTTTTGTTGAAGCCTTTCTTCACAATTCTTTTCAGTTGACATAAACATTTGTGTCCAAATTTGGGATAGTGCGCGATAGCTCAGCCTTTATCATCAAAACGTGGATAGAGTAGATTGGCCTCCGTGAAGTTGATTGAACAAAATATATGTCAGCTTAATCTTGCAAAACGGATGTATCTACGGTAGCCAACGCTAAAATTGATGCTCGGTAGAATAGGCAACTGCCGATTTAAGGGCACCGCCACACTTATTTCAAAGGTGTTTGTTGGAGGACGTACATATATTGGCAGGGACATCTTGTAGTAGTGCAGTGTATACGCAAACACGGATGCTAGGTGAATAAGTGAAAAGAGAAATTCCATGGTTTTCCGGTGCATACAAAATTCCCCATC